AAAGAAAGAAAGAAAAGAGAGTAAATTTTAAGTGCTCCCACAGGTAGTGTATATGTTAATTAGTCCTATTTAGCATATACAATATATAAATAGCTGTAAATATAAACAATTTTCATTTGTCAACTAAAAATAAGCAAATGAAATTCTTTTAAAGTTTAACTAGTATTTCTCTTAAGTGGGCCCAAATTATTAGCATTTTCAACTCACAAATGAGGAAACCACAATCATGGAATCAATAACCTTGACTTTTAAAAATAAATGGAACACTAGAAACCAGAATTTCTAATAAGGTGTTTTCCTTTGAAATTAAATCAGCACATAGAAACAGCTCCAAATCCCTCTAGTAAAATAGCATTAGACTGGGAACTTCTATCAAGAAAAAAGTATTTTTATTTTATTTTTGGCCAGGGCTGGGTTTGAACCCACCACCTCCAGCATATGGGACCGGCACCCTTCCCTTTTGAGCCACAGGCGCTGCCCAAAAAAGTATTTTTAATTCCCTATTTCTCCTAAAAAATCCCATCTGAAAAATGGATAGAGAGGCACCTTTCCCATGAGAGCTTTAGGATTACCACTAATGAAAAAGAAATCTTTTTCTTGGCATTGAATCCTAGTGTAGGCAGTGGTACACAACTCAAAATGATAACTGTATGCATACACGTAAGAAGTATAAAGACCCTCACATTCTAAACACTTAGCCCAAAACTCCTAAAATGAACTGTTTGAAACCAAAATGATCATTGCAAGCTAAATGTTAATTCTACCAAAAGTCCCTAAGAGCTACCAAAATATGATATATCAAAGAATTCAAAAACACTTAATGATGGCCAAATCATCTGGAGTAAAGGGGCAGTTGCAGCAAGACTAGCCTTGGCATACCTTAGAAAAAAAGATACATATGGAGATGAAAAACAAGGAGAAAATGAAGAATTAAGACAAACTTGGTCTCAATTCCAAGAGGAATCATTTTGTCACTGAGAAAAACTAAACAAAGTTATTCTATTTTTATACTGGGTGACTGAAGTGGAAAGAAAATGAAAAGACATTTGGGGAAATCAGGAATTGAAATCGCAACAGCACTGAACTTAACTTTCCATAACAAACAGTTTCCAAAAATAGGGCTGGAACAAAACTATGCTGGGATCTGTACCAGCACTGTGTCTAAAGGCGCTAGTCGCTACGACTAGAGCGGTTCTAACTAGAGAATGCAAACTACAGTGCAAAGTTCAGAACGAAAGAAAATCTAGGGTAATTCTCCAGACAGCTAATTTGTCTTTTAGAGAAAACTTTGGACACCTACTCCCCATCCCAAGTAAAAAGATAACTACAAACGAATTCCCTGGGCTGCTTTGGGCAGCAGAAGACTCCTCTGGGTGCTATTGCTAACTCCCAGCCCGGTAGGGGTCCAGCCCTCTGCTGGAGGCTTGTAAGGAATTCAGAGTGCCCACTCACTGCCAGCAGCAGCTAGTATTTGCAGGAATTAGAAACGAATGCAAAATACACCATGGTCTCTCTCCCCTGCATCCCTAAATAAGATCTCGAAATTGTGGGACCAGCCAGACACGGTAGCTCACGCGTAGCTCCCAGCACTTTTGAAAGTCAAAGAGGGAGGATCGCTTGAACAGGAGTTCCAGGCTGCAGTAAGCTATGTTCACGCCACTGCACTACAACCTGGGTGACAGAGAAATCCTGTCTCAAAAAAGAAAAGAAATTGAGGACCGATGGTCAGATGGCCTGTATGTCAGAGCTACTTATTTTGTGTGGGCTCGGCTCTGGCTCAGGGTACGGCCCTAGAGCAATTTGGGGAAGAAGGATTATAGGTGAAGGAAGTAAAAGGGGCAAGAGCCGCGCAACCGCTCAATTCAGAGCAAGTGACCCCGAAGCCCTGCGGAGCGCACCGAGGCAGTTTGGGGGGAGGGGAGAGAGATTTCGAGGATTCCAGAACGCGTGGGTTTCACACCCACGGGTCCTTTCCCTGCCCAAACACCGGGTAAATAGCTGTCACCAAGATGTCAGGGCCAGATTAGGTTTCCCAGGCCACAGGGACCGACTCCCAGCCCCACACTAAAGTCACCTCAGTAGGAGCGCAGCCATCTTGGGTTCCGGCCTGGACGGAAGTGACGCACGCGGTCCCGCCCCCTCAGGGCGGGTGGGGGTGGGTTGTCCCGTGACAGCACCGGTTTCTTTAAAAGGCTCCAGAACTTCTCCGTTGTGCTCTACACAGATGGTGTGGTTTTTGTCCAGGTCTTTGGCTTTTTCCTCCACTGACACCTACCAGAATTTACGTAGAAAAGCCGCAGCTCAAAATTTGCAGTCTCCGTTCCTCCCGCATGCATAATCATTTTCTGTAGCTCTACCGAACCGCGAAGAGCTGACTTGCCCAAATTCTCCATTGAGGACTTGGCAGTCAGTTTCACTCCTCCCCCTGCCAGGTCGGCCTAAAAACGTAGAGGTTAGCTGGCTTGCTGGGACACCCAGGAAAAAAGATATTTTGGACCCCCTGCCGTTCTAATGTGAAGGTTCACCCAGGGGTACACAGGTTGAGACCTAAGTGAGGAGGGGTCTCGAGAGAACCTTGCTAACCATGGTTACTAAGAAGAAGGGAAACTTGTTTAGGCCCCACAATTCCTGGGCTTGAGCTGTGACGTGAACCTAACTCACACTACTAGCGAAGACAATGTTCCCTTGTTTCTTGTATCAGTGATAGGTGGGCGACACCTACAGCCAGAAGAACCTGAGGTAAAGGGGATAACATGCTTTGATTTATATATGTATATAAACAGTTTTCAGGAACCCAAGAACAGGAATCAATTGCAGAGTACTCAAGACTGAAGAGAGACAAAGAGCAAGTAAGAAGGATGGGGATAGAGTGCAAAAGTTCTTGACCTTTTGGGGGGGCTAGGGTGGGAAAGAATGAAGGGGACAACCCAAAGCAACTCCCATTCTGCAATAAAACATACTCAGTCCCATTGATAGTCAGATCGTATTTATGTTTAGCACCCGTGCACTTTTAGTTTCAGGATTCATTATTTCTGCATAAACTGAGGAATATTATTTTGTATTTCTATAATGCTTGACCAAAAAAAATTAGGACTGGATGACACCTTGGAAACTCTCTAATCTAACCTATTCAGTGCAAGGACCTCCCTGACAGCAAATCTTCAAGACTCTGCTCCCAACAGTGAGACCTGGAAAAGTAAGCTTCAGGATGGCTCACTCCTGTAATCCCAGCACTTTGGGAGGCTGAAGTGGAAAGATCATTTCAGGCCAGGAATTAGAAACAAGCCTTGACAACACAGCAAGTCTCTGTCTCTACCCCCCAAAAATTAAAACTTAAACAAAAAGAACAACAAAACAAGCTTCACTTAGTGAACTGCTTGTTAATTAGAAAATTATTGGTTTAAAATATAGCTTTGTACTATCAAACTTCCAGTCATTGGCTCGGCGCCTATAGCTCAACCGGCTGAGGCACCAGCCACGTACACCTAAGGTGGCAGGTTCGAATCCCCAGCCCGGACCCGCCAAACAACAATGATGGCTGCAACCAA